GCTGCTACAGGTCCCGGGTTTTAACGGGCTGCTACAGATCCCGGGTTCTGACCCGCTGCTACAGGTCCCGGGTTCTAACGGGCCGTCTTCTTCCAGGAACGGCTACTCGCTGTACTGCGCTGAGCTGATGGTGAACATGAAGGACGTCCCCAGCACGGAGCGCATGGTGCTCTGCAGCAAGCAGTGGAAGATGCTGACCCAGAAGGAGAAGGACATGTTCCAGAAGCGCTGCGAGCAGGTGGGTATGCCCACCCCAACCCACCCCGTCCGGCCCGATCCGGTTCGGCCCGGTCTAACTCAGCTTTCTGCCTGCAGAAAAAGAAGCAGTACGACATCGACCTGCAGCGCTTCCTGGAGGTAAGCCCCGCCCCCAAGCAGCTCCTAACCCAGGGTCTAACCAGGCCCCCAGACCAGAACCAGCTTATGCAAACTAAACCTAGAGCAGGACCAGAACCAAGGTCCCTCTAACTGCACTGTAGGATGGCTGGTTCCGGTACCGTGGCTCTACGCTGGCTTGAGGTTGAACCGGTTCTGAAAGTTCTGCTTGATTGGTCCCAGATGTTCTGATTCAGCACTGGGAACGGGTCCGGTACCGGGCCCCTAACATAAGGTCCAGTTGGGTCTGATATGGTCAACACTGGGACCGTATAGAAACGGTTCTACCGGGTCGTTTGCTCCAGTTGAGCCGGACTGGATCCGGACCGGAACAAGAACCGTTTCAAGGCAGCAACCTTAGAAATACTGGAACCATTTCTGACCAGAACCGGTTCTTTACTGACCGGTTCTTCTGGAAGGAACGTTACTCCCAGTTCCCAGTTTACTCCCAGTTTACTCCCAGTTCCCAGTTTACTCCCAGTTCCTTCCACAACCCAGAAGCTCTGAGCCATTAGAAGGAACTCCATCAACTGTCCATCAGATACTGTCCCCCCAGTTACTGTCCATCAGATACTGTCCCCCCAGTTACTGTCCATCAGATACTGTCCCCCCAGTTACTGTCCCCCCAGTTACTGTCCATCAGTTACTGTCCCATCAGTTACTGTCCTCCCAGTTACTGTCCCCCCAGTTACTATCCCCTAGTTACTGTCCATCAGTTACTGTCCCCCCAGTTACTGTCCATCAGATACTGTCCATCAGATACTGTCCCCCCAGTTACTGTCCATCAGTTACTGTCCCCCCAGTTACTGTCCATCAGTTACTGTCCCC